CCTAGAGGACTTGTCTTGGTTCCTGGGTCTACCACTTACAGATAAATGGGGTTGGAAAAATCCCTTGACTCCTCTGAGCCTCAGTTAACTCATCTGTGTAGTGGGTATTGAAATTTACATTATACGATCATTAAAAAGATTTTAACATCATGAAATACAAGACATTCATGGCATAGTACTTGGTACCTAAGTGAAGCTCACTAAATGATGTTTTTAAAAATTGAGAAACAACTGTCCTTCTTGTTCAAGAAGGGAGATTTATCGAATCCTGCTCTCCGTCCTATGAAACAAACAACTTTGTGTCCACAGAATCTGGTTGCTGGTAAAAGCCAGAAGCCTTGTCCTGACCAGCCAGAGTTGTGTCAGTTCCAGTCCTGGCTCCATCACTAACTAGCTGCATGGTTGAGGGCAAAGCGTCTCTGTGTGCCTCAGTTTCCCCTCTTTAAATGGGGAGCATAGCAGCTTCTCCCTGGGGGTTGTGGTGAGGATGACATGTGATGATGTGGTTTATGAAAAACCGGGCACATAGTAAGTGTTGAATAAATCACCAACACAGCTTCACCACTTCCAATATCACACATGGACGGACCGTGCCTATAGGTCTAGGGAGCGGGGTTGAGAGAAAGGCTCAAGGACAGTTTCCCACACCCGTCCTTGGACACCAGGCAACCTGACTGCACCCCTCCTTCCCAGTTTTCTTGAGTCACTGCTCTGTCTGAGTCTTCAACGGGCACTAGATGACGAGACCACGGTTCTGCACTGCCCCCCAAAGCCCCCTGGCCTGGCACCTGGGCCACGGTGCTCTGTCCCTCCATCCCCAGGGCTTTCCGGGTGCCTGGAAAGAGCACAGGCCTGGATGTCAGGCAGGACTTGGTGCAAATCTCAAGTTCTGAAGTCTTGGCCAGGTTGCTTTATTTACAGGAGCTTCAGTTTCCTCATCTGTGAAGTGGGAACGGTAAGGGCAGCAGCCACGTTGTGACTGTTTATTTGGGAATAACAGCAAGTAACGTGGATCATTTAGGAACAAGAACAAGAAAACACTGATGTGCCAGACTCAGCATCTCCTGCACGAACATCTGCTACTTCACTCTCCCCACATCCCACCAGCAGCACACCCCAGATGCTCTGAGACCCGAGCGGGAAGACTCACAGTTACTGTAACTTCTGGATGGCAGTTCTCAGGGGTCCAACCCACACCGCTTCAGTACCGGGACCCCTTGTCAGTGTTGGCTTGGCCTGAGCCATGCCCCCCCCGGCCCCGACTTGTGTCCCAGATGGTGGCTGTGCTGAGAAGGGCCTGGAGGTCAACACGGCCCAGCTTGGAGGGTGGCAGCAGAGGGGCCCGAGCACCTGGGGGATCTGGAGGTGCCTGGAGGGTGGGCCAGACGGGGGCTGGGCATCACCTCCTGGGTAGAGGGGAGGGCCTGCCTTCCACATGGGCCCACGTGGCACCTGGCACGGGCCAGTGCTCGACTGAAAGACGCTGGTGGCAAAGACTTTGCAAACAAACCAGAGCTCCCCAGGTCCTCTCCTCCAGCGACTCCCCAAGGGAAGGGGCAGGTAAGCACTCCAGGAGGTCCTGGAGCCCCAGACTGGACCCCTGAACCCCCCAGGGATCCCGGGGGGCTTTCAGGTTCCCTGAGCCAAGCACGGTGATGGGGGAGGGTGGGCAGCCCCCAACTGCTGCCTGCAAGCAGCCTAGGAACTCAAGGACCAGTCCAAGGGATGGGAGTGACAGGGTTAGACACCCCACTCCAGGGCACCCGCCAGACTCCCGGACACGTCCCTCAAGGCCTCCAGCACCCCTTCCAAGTTGCTTCTGGGGCAGCAATGTGCTTTGCCCAGGGCAGGGCTCTTCCTCAGAAGTTCTGCTGGGCTCTGCATTCTCAAGGCCCCCACCTTGCAGTCTGGACATCTTCAGCTCCCTCTTTCCCCGAGCCGGAGGCTTGCCTGTTTCTGGGGCACCCTTCCTGCTAACCTCATTAGATTGTTCTTGTCGGTTTCTGAGGGGCCCCACTGGCCTGGGCATGGGTGGGGTGGGTTCGGCTCCCTCCCCAAGGCCTGGCAGGGTGGGTGGTGGACGATGGGTGGGCGCACTCACCCAGAAGCAGGTTCATGAGCACCTCCTGGCCGGCCAGCGTGCTGCTCTTCACCAGGCAGAGGATGGTGCCCCCGATCCAGGGGACGCCGTGGCCCGTGATGCCGATGAGCTTGACCATGGAGCGGGCGCTGGCCCAGGATGCGGCCCGGCCGGCGCATACCCCCAGGCGCTTGGACATGCAGATGTCAATGGCCAGCAGGGAGTTGAAGGCGATGCCCTTGAAGGAGGGGTTCAGCTGCATGCAGTCCTCCTCGGGCAGCTGCTGGGACTGGCGCCGCTCGCGGGCCCCATCCCCAGGGCCTGGGGGCTGGGGCGAGGGGCCCGAGGCCTTCCTGCCCGAGCTGCGGGGCTCCGGGGCCCCCTTGGGGGGCTGATTCAGGGACAGGAACTCAGCCCGGTTGAGGACGTTGCTGCGGTCCCGGGCCCGGGCCCGGCTCTGGGAGGCGGGCATGGTTGACGATCGCCCGGCGAGGGCCGCTACCAGCCTGGCTGCGAGGCCCTTCTCCCCCGATGACGGGAGCGCCCGGAACCGCCCCTGCTCTCTGCCTCCCTGCCCGCTCCTCGGCAGCTGTTAAATATAGAGAGCAGGCCTGCACATGGCTGTTTACCTCCGGCTGCCACCGGGCTCCTGGGGAATGTCAGTGCCAGCCGGGCAGCCAATCGAGCCCCCCAGTGCCGGCCAGCGCCAATGGAGCCACGGGGAGGCGTCCACAGCTGGGGCCTGGATGCCTTGGGCCTGGGCTATTTAAATCTCCCAATGGCTCGCTCTGGGGGGGACCTGGGGGACTCTGGGAAATGTAGTCCTCCTACAGGTCTGGCCTCGGCTGTGCCCCGAGCCAGAGGCCCAGAGGTGGGCCCCTGACTCACCCCTGCTTTGACCAGCTTCCCTCTGAGCAGCCCAGAGGCCGGGGAGCCAGGCCCACCTGCCCCACTGGCCTGGACGGCTTGGATCTGGTCCCATGGACCAGACAGCGGAGCCCAGACCAGAGGCTTCTTCGGGCACCTGATGGGGTGGATGACGTCACTAACAGCGTCATTCTGGGTCCACTGGGGGCGGGGCTGAGCCCAGCCCCTCCCCTCCGTGCTAGCATTTCGTTAAAATGGTAGGCTGGGTTTTGACATTTTTCAATTAGTCTTGAATTTGGCTTCAGCGCAGGACTGTTCAATCTGTAAGACTTGATTTCCATTGGAAGGAGGGGTAGTGAATTGGTTGGTAATGGATCTGCCCCTTGGAGGTGGCCTCCGCTGCCTGGAGTTTTGTGGAGGATGCGATCACCGTAGCAGCTTCGGGCAACCTGTAAATAGTTCCTGAGCTCCTCCTGCCGCGTGAGGTGCCTGGAGCTGTAGTGAAGGGAACACATCACGTGCGTCCCTGTCCCCCGGAAAAAGTCATAGTTCAGCAGGGATTAAATGAATGACATGTGTGAATGACTGCAAGCATCATGCGGATGTGTTTCAGGGTCATAGAACAGGGCTCCAGGCCTGGCCTAGGGGTCCTGGGGGGCATTTCCCTGGAAGGAAGAGCAGGTGAGAGCTTCCGGGTAGGGGAGAGCCTTCCTCTTGCCGGCTGTGAGGTCTGGGAGCCCCTGTGGTGGTACATGGACCAAGAGGGCAAGAGAGGCTGCCAACCCAGAGAGAAGCAGGCCAAGAGGGATTTGAGTTGGAGGATTCGGGGTTTGAGTTGGGGCTCCCTGGCTGAGGAAACCAATCTGACAGCCCTTTAAGGGCTGACCCGGACTGGGCTCAAATGGAAGCCGCTGGTTTAGGGCAACCAGCAGAGTTAGAAGTGAATGCCCTGGTGTCATGATGTATTATAGCAGCCAAGGCCTGGAATGAAGACGGGATTCCTTCCGAGCATGGAGCCCCCGGGAAGCCCCAGGCCCACCCTGCAGCCTCCCAGGGAGCAGGTCCACAGACTCCCAAGGACAGGAAGCCGTCTGGGTGGGGTGCGTGCTCTCTGGTCACGTGGGACCAGCCTGGGGGCTCCAGAGTCAGACAGATGGGGGATGACCTGGGGCTCTGCCACCAGCTAGTCACTTGGCCTCTCTGAGCCTAGTCTTTTTTTTTTTTCTCTCGTAACACAGGAATACTAGTGTCCACCTTCCAAGGGCTATTGTGAAGTCAGTGAGTTGATGTGTCACTGATGTAAAGTGCTGAGCAGGGCAGCTGTGCTGCCAGGTAGTGAGACTTCAAGCCTCTGGGTTAGGAACTGGTCTGTTTAACAAATGAGGCAAAGACCTCTCCCCTCTGAGTGACTCTTTCAGAAGCACCCGCCCGCCCCCCAAAGTCTGGCCCCACCTCCATACCTGGCTGGTGAGAAGCCAGACACCAGGAATCCTTAGTCTGAGGTTCCTTGTGGATTCCCTGGCACTTCTCTTCCAGAATGTTCCCCTCAGACCATGCAACCACAGAGGAGGATGTCCCAGACTGTCACATCCCACCTTCTTGGGTGTGGCCCTGCTGACCTGTGCGGCCCCGCCCTGAGCCTGGACAGATGCAGGTGCAGAGCGCGTGGAGAGCGGGCAGTGCACTGTGGTCTCTCTATGTTCTAGCTTATTGACACCATGTAACCAACCTTCCTGCGAAGTCATGATATCATGCCCACTTTACAGATGAGGAAGCTGAGGCTCAGAGGGATGAAACCCAGAAGAGGTGAGGCCCAACTCCCAAGAAGTCCCTGGGGCCTCCAGACTCAGATGCTGCAGACCACAGGGACTGGGATGTGCCCACTCAGCTTTCCACCAGGGCATTCACCCCACTCTTCCCGGGTGGGGCCCATGATCCAGGCTGACCTCAGGAGGTGAGGAGGAGCCTAGCCCAGAGATGGGCTATTAATATCCAGAGGCCTGTGTCAGCATCTTGGCCTGGCAAGAGCTGCCGGCAGGTTCCCAGGGCTACGATGGGCTCCATGCCGGGGAGGGCCATGGAGACTGACTGGACTTCGGCCCAGGAGTGGTGAAAAGTGGGCTTTGGATTGGGTCAACCCTGGGTTCAAACCCCAGCTCAGCTTCCTCTACTTTACCAACCACAGGCACGTCCTGCCAGTACTCCTGGCCTCTCTTTCTCCCCCAGGGGGCTCACTCAGACTGAGACCTGCCCCTCCATCTGTAAGTTGGGGTAACCCTGTTCACTGTCTCAGGCAACTGAGAAGCAGGCGCCATCCCTTTATGAGCACCTACCACAGGCTACACTGTCCCACTTCTCAAGTGTCTTAGAATTCATCCATCCATTGAATTGATGCTTTCATTGATCTCTTCCTGATTATAGTTTCTGTATAGTTGGGGAGATAGTATATACACCTGTTAAATAACTAGCCGGATTCCAAAACAATGTATTTTTACCAATAGCCTTATTTTTTCTTATTGTCAAATGTTACGGTCTTACAGCAATAAATTCAGTGAATACAGATGATATAATATAGGTGCAACCCTGGACTTCCTTGGTGTTCCTGTGGTTTAGATTCTGTGGTTCCACTGCAGGGGGTACAGATTCCATCCCTGGTCAGGGAACTATGATCCTACATGCTGCATGGTGCTGCAAAAAAAAATATATATATATATATATATATATATATATATGCATATATATATATAATTCTATTGCCTGGGTGCCATGACTGTTAACATGAGAATGGTCAGGTTACACAGGAATCCGCACTTCTCATTTCTAATTATTGAAATGTTTTATGACAACCACATATTACTTTTAACAATCAGAAAGGATATCTATTAAACTGTATCTATGTATAGCAAATGCAGAGATAAACAAATATGCATTTAAAATATGACTGTATTTATATACCCTTTTAACCCCTCCCTTTTTTTTTAACCCCTCCCTTTTCATGTAACAATGCAGACCTGGCAATGTCTCCGTGATAACCCATCAGTTTTCAACGACTGCTTGGTATTTTGTCATGTGGATGGGCCAAACTTTGTAGAAGCAATTCTTTGTTTTTAGACATGTAGATTGCTTCTATTTTGTGACTATTCAAAACTATTAAGTACTAGGTGGCATAGCCATCCTCACACATACACCCCTGTGCACCTAGGCAGAATATAAATAAGTGGCTACAACAGCAAGTACCAGATAAAATGGCATGTTTGGATGCAACCCCATGAGATCTGGTGGGTCAACCTAAGCCACCTACTGCAGTGCCCACACCCAGAAAACCAGGACAAGGTCAGAGACACTTCTAGCCAACATGGCAAGTCTGACCACACTCTTGTGTTAGAGCCGAGGAAGAAAAGGCTAGAGTGATGACATCACCTATGAGGCCACAGAGCTGATCAAGCAAGACCAGAGTTAAGATGTGGGCTGGCTGATCCCTATAACTCGGAGCCAGAAGGCTGTCTTCCCAGCCATGAGTTTTTCTGTTGCCCGCAGTTTTTCTGTTCCCTACCTACTTGGTCTCATCTGTCACTCACTCATTCACTCTCTCACTCTTGGAACACTTGATTTTTTTTTTTTTTCTGATTTTGTGGCAGGAGGGATCTTAGTTCCCTGACCAGGGATTGAACCTGTGCCCCCTGCACTGGAAGCATGGTGTCTTAACCACTGGACCACCAAGGAAGCCCCTGGAACACCTTTTGGGGTCTGCCATGTGTCAGGCCCCCTTCCCCACGCAAGACCAGTGGGAAGTACAAAGATGGCCACATGCCTGCAGACCACCTGGCCTCTCCAAACCATTGTCTCACCTGGCCCGTGGTCCATATGACTTCTTCCTTCTGGCACTGTCCATTACTGAGAGGGGAGTCTGTGGTGTGCAGTCAAGTGACTCGGGACTCAGCCTAAAACCTTGCCCCAACCACTTGACTACACAGCCTGTCACTTGAAGGCAGGAGAGGTTTTCTGGCAACATCCTGGGGTCTAGAGCTGTTTGTACATCATAGACACTTGCTATTCATTGTCTTTAAATGTTTAAGATAGATCCACTACTACTAGTGAGCATATTTATCATTAACTTGTACTTAACATTGCTCCTTGGCAGACTCAGAACTAAACGTTTGTCTCAATTATTACCGAAATTTCATAGACAGGATTTTAGTCCCCAAGGCACAAATGACAACACCAGAGCTCAGAGGTGAAGGGATTCTCTCTGAATCATGGAGTGAGCCAGTGGGATACCTCGGGGTTCAAAGGTCACCCTGATACCCCGTACCCTCTCCTGCCCTTTTATTTTCTCCTTGGTCAGTTTCCTTTTTAACACATCATACACTTACTCTGCAGGGGCTTAGCACCTGTGTCCTCCTAGCAGCGTGTGAGCTCATGCGGCAGGGCCTGTTGTGTTTGCTCCTTTGGGGGCATAGGTTGTCCAGGGAGCCTGGAATCTGGCTGGTGCTAACTCTTTACAACCCCGTGGACTGTAGCCCACCAAGCTCCTCTAGCCTGGGATTCTCCAGGCAAGAGTACTGGAGTGGGTTGCCATTTCCCTCTCCAACAATCTTCCGGACCCAGGGATCGAACCCACGTCTCCTGAATTGGCAGGCGGATTCTTTACCACTGAGCCACTTGGGAAGCCCATCTGGCACCTAGTAGGAGCTCAATAAACGGATATGGAATGACTGGCTGGCTGGGCTCTGATCTACAGATCTTGCCCCCAGAGACGGATGGCCAAGAGGAGGCGGGTTATTTGGGGGTGATGACCCCAAAAAGAGGAGGGGAGGGGTGAGAAGCTCCACTCTAGGAAGAGGCAGAGCTGGAGGGGAGAGTAGGGAGGGGCAGCCTTGCGAAAAGCATCTTTCATTACCGCCTCCCCCGACCCGGCCAGCTCCCGCCCCGGATCGCTTTCTCAGTTCGCATTTCCAAGGCCGCTCCTGGGCTATTTCGGTCGGGAAACCTGATCCTTCGCTGGGTTTATTTTAGCACCTTGGAGAACTCCCAGTGCCGCACCCGATCCGAGGCCGCACCCAGCCTGCTGACCACGCCTCCGTCCCCGTGGCTCTCGGCGGCGGGGCGCGCGCGGCGGGCCGGGCCGGGCCGAACAAGCCTCCGACGCGCGGCGCCCGCATCCTCCCGCACCTGCGGCACGCGGGACGGTGATGCCCACCCCCGCCGCCGCGAGGATGCCCGGGCGGGGCGGGGGCGCCGGTGCCAGGTGACCGGGTGGGAGGCGGGGCACCTGTGCTTGACCCGGGCGCCGCTGCTCCCTCCTGCGGGGACGGGGTGCGTTAGAGACACCTGCGAAGTCGTTTGTTGCTCCGAACTGCGGCTCCGATGGCGAAGCCGGGGATGCAGACTGGCCCTTGCGCGCCAGGCTGGGAGAAGCAAGCCCTCCCCCATCCTTTCTGCTGTCCATCCCACTGGCTCATTAACGATCCTCTCCAGCCCCAAATAACATCCAGCACGCATACATGCACAGACATGCACACTCACACACGCCCCTACGGCCCACCCACTCATACCCCAAACGTGCTCCCCCCCTACACTCACCGTCACACACACATCCACACATCTGCACAGACACACGGGCTCACATCCATCCCCACAGACACGCATGAACGCACACCATCATGCACACTCACACAGACATACACTTGCACAACCAGCAAACTGCCCTCTGCACTCACACTCTCACATATATTGTCATACAAGGCACACACCTCCATACACAATATACACACAATCTCATCTACACCCACACCACTTGTGGTCACTCACATGACTACACACCTCATACATGCACCCACTTGGACACACAACGTGTACACAACTGTCACATATACCCTCACACAAACTCACACTGTCACACTCATTTACACACACAGTCACCCACACACTCTAACTGCCTCATACAAGGATGGAACATGCATCCTTCACCCTCCCCTCCCCAAGCTCACTACTGGACACGCACATCAAAGCAAATTACTCATACACATCTTAATTTATAGCAGTCAATACTTACTCATGACTCTTTTGAGTATGAATTTGTACCATTTATTATTCATGTTAATACCTCTATTCATCATTCTTGGCATCTCTGGGACCCACGGGGATGTGAGTGCTGAGGGGAGCAGGTCTGTTGTCTGTCTAGGCCCTGCCTGTGTTCACCAGTGTCTTCTGAGCCCCCAGCGCAGGTGTCTGGTCAATATGGGGGAGGGAATGCAGGGGCCTGAGATGGTGGGGAGGCCAGCTGATCAGACCTAGAAGAAATGTGCGCCTGAGCCTTTGGCTGGAAAGATTTTCGGACACCCCAGGCACCTGAATTTATGCAGGGCCCCATGACACGCCTTTGCCCCTGCAGAGAGAGTGAGGTTATCACAAACCTGGGGGCCAGGAGGCCTGGCTTCTAGTCCCAGAGCCCTCCCTGCATGACCTTGCGGGGCCTGTGTCTCCCTCTGTAGGGGAGGCGAGCTCAGAGCCTGCTCTGAGACCCTGGCTGTGCCAGCTTGGCCAGTCCCAGCCCACTCCCTGCAGAGGTAAGATGTCTCAGTCATGCCAGGTGGGCCCTGTAGCCTCCTCACCTCTTGACATGTCCCCTTCCAGCCACCTGCCCGGCCCACCAACCCTGCCAGCCCGTCTCCCAGATGGACGTTTCAAGTCTCATCATTGGCTTCCTGTCTGGTCCTGAACAGTTAAGGATAGAACCCTGTCTCCCAGGGCAACAGAATTCCAGCACTTAACATTTCCATCTGCAGAACAAGGGCTTTCCCACCTGTGAAATGCCTTTCTGGTCTCATGATGACTGCACTCTTGAGACTGAGAGCTCTTGGAGGACCAGCTGTGGCCCTGCAGATGGTGACTGCTGCCATGAAATTAAAAGACACTTGCTCCTTGGAAGGAAATCTATGACAAACCTAGACAGCGTATTCAAAAGTAGAGACATCACTTTGCCAACCAAGTAGTCAAAGCTATGGTTTTTCCAGTAGCCATGTATGGGTGTGAGAGTTGGACCATCAATAAGGCTGAGTGCTGAAGAACTGATGCTTTCAAACTGTGGTGTGGAGAAGACTCTTGAGAGTCCCTTGGACTGCAAGGAGATCCAACCAGTCAATCCTAAAGGAAGTCAACCCTGAATATTCATTGGAAAGATTGATGCTAAAGCTGAAGCTCCAATACTTTGGCTACCTGATGTGAAGAGCTGACTCATTGGAAAAGACCCTGATGCTGGGAAAGATCGAAGGCAGGAGGAGAAGGGGACAACAGAGGATGAGAAGGTTGGATGGCATCACTGACTCAATGGACGTGAGTTTGAGCAAACTCTGGGAGATAGTGGAGGACAGGGGAGGCTGGTGTGCTGCAGTCCATGGGGTCGCAAAGAGTCGGATGACTTAGCAGCTGGACAACTGCAGGGAATGCTGGTGAGAATGCCTGCTACATCGAATCCACCAGCCTCCAGGTCTCAGAGCTGGGTGGGCAGGTTCCATCCCCTCCTCCTTCTTCATCAGGCCTCAGTATCCTCATATGTGGAATGGGCTGGTGATGGGACCGGCTCGTGGGGTTGTCATGGAGAGCCATGAAGCTGATGCATGCAGAGACCCTGGCTACAGTGATGTTCAGTGAGGAGACCCTGCATCCAGTTCTTTCTGCGGACCTGGGAGGGCTCTGGACTCATTGGTGCTGTGTGTTAAAACGCAGCTCAGGGAGTTCCCTGGTGGTTCAGAGGCTAGGACTCCGAGGTCCCCAGAGCCCAGGTTTGATCCCTGGTCAGGGAACTGGATCCCACATGCCGCAACTGAGGATCCTGAGAGCCGCAACTGTGAGCTGGCACCGTCAATGAATGTGTGTGTGTGTGTGTGTGTGTGTATTTATATACATAAACCCAGCTGGGTGCGGTCAGGTTGTTTCTCCCTCTGATTTGCTGTGTAATTTGGGGTTTTCACGACCTCTCTAGGCCAACGTGCTCCGAACTGAGGAACCTTGCCCTCTCACCATCGGCACTTGGAACTCCCAAGTTGCCACCTTGGGGAGTTCACCACCCCTGAGGGGGGGATGGGGTTGTGCCTCCTGACCTCTGCTCTTTCCCCTTCACCGGTGACATCAACTCAGCGAGTCTGGGAGACTGAGGTCTTAGGGGGGCATGTGAGCATCCCCGTGGTGCTAGGCACATCACAAGCAGATGACCCCTTCCTCTTTTCTGCAGACGCCAGCTTTTCAGTCTCGTGTGGAGGCCTCATAGGCCCTCACATATGCTGAGACAGCCGTGGGTCTGTGCACAACACCCACAGACTCCAGAAAACGCTGAGCAGGAAGCAGGGCTGCGCAGAGAGGCAGGAGCGATGGAGGGCGCGAGAGCTAGGGAAGCCGCCAGGCCTCAGAGGGCCCGTGGGGAGCCGGGGCAGGGGAGGCAGGTGTGGGCTGGCCCTTTCAGACCCTCCATCGCTCAAGGTGGGCCCCGGGGGTGCCCATCCTTAGCTCAGAGCCTGGGGAAAAGGCCCCTAGACACTGCCTGCGCTCTTCCTCTGCAGAACTGGCCCTTGAACTAGCCCGAGACAAAATACTGCCTAGGAGGTGACATGGCAGAGGAGGCATCTTTGGGGCTGAGGGTCAGGTGTTTTCTATTTTTTGCTCACCCCTCGGGCACCCGAGTACTCTTCTGGTGGGACTTAACATATACAGGGTTTTCTAGTGTCACTTCCACCCGGGCTCAGAGGGGGCTGGCCCCCAGGCAAGGGGGGCATGCCTAGAGGAGGAGATAAGTGGGCTTTGAACTTAGCCAGATCTAGGTGGGCATGCAGATTCTGGAAAACCTGACCTATGGGTCTCTCTGTCCAGCCCACCTCCTGGGGCTGAGGAGGTCAGAAGAGACAATATCTGCTCAGTGGTGTGGTGGGCTTCCCAGGTGACGCTAGTGGTAAAGAACCCACCTGCCAATGCAGGAGACATAAGAGATGTGGGTTCAATCCCTGGATTGGGACAAGCCCCTGGAGAAGCAAACGGCAACCCACTCCAGTATTCTTGCCAGAAGAATTCCATGGACAGAGGAGCCTGGCAGGCTACAGTCCAGAGGGTCACAAAGAGTTGGACACGACTGAAGTGACTTAGCACGCACGCATATGGACACGTGGTGCACACCTTATCATCATCATCATCATGAACCCAGGCCAACCAAGCCCAGAACTGCAGGGTGTAATGTCACTTCTAAGAGGCATCAAGGACACTCGACTCTTGGAAATCATCTCCGGGGGCGTGGCTGCTTAGGAGGCACTTTAGGGTTCTGACTTCTGTTCTTTCACGTCGGATGAGCAAGAAGTGCAGGCTTCCCCTGTGGCTCAGTGGTAAAGAATCCGCCTGCAAAGCAGGAGACCCAGATTCTTTCCCTGGGTTGGGAAGATCCCCTGGATAAAGGGACTGACTATCCACTCCAGTATTCTAGGCACTGGAGCTGATGTTGTGGGCAGATGAGATGGACACCCCCAAAGTTAATGTCTTTATATATAAAGTGAACAGAGTAATAATTCACCTACCAGCTGAAGTGGGTGAAGGCTGAGATGCATCCAAGAAGGGCAGGATGTTTGGTGGAGGCCACGGGTTCATGGCAGGGAGAAGACGCTGTGGGTTGAGGCCAGGAAAAGCTTCTTCCCGGAAGTGGAAATTTACACGGGGTCCCTCGGAGCCCTGTGGGGTTCCTCCCTCCTGGCAGTAGGCAGATCCCGAGGGCCACCACACCTTGGTCTCAGTCAGCAGGACCAGGAATAAACGACTTACTAGCTGACCTGCCTGGAAAGGGATGACTCCTCATCAGGCTCAGGGCCCGTGGCAGTCATCAGGGCAAGGGCAGGGGTGCAGCTGGGCACGACGCAGTGGCCACCTCGACTGGACACTTCCTGCCTGTGGCCCGAGCTGGTTGCTGATATGAGATGGATCATTTGGCTGGCTGATCACCCCTCAAAGAGGAGACCTCGGTGGGAACCCTCCGCTCCTCCAAATCCTGCCCTCTCTGGCCATCAGGATGCTCTGGCTGGAACCACCTGCCCTGCGCCTGGTGGTGGGCAGAGTCATGGGAGAAGGGCATGGCTCTAGTGAGGCTACCAGGTTTTCTGATGTCACAAACCGCCTGGCCTTTCCCCCTTTCCCTGGCGGCGGTTCCAAGGTGGGGGTTAGTGGGGGTGGGTCCTGGTTCGAGATGTTTAGAGAGGTTAACAGCGATCCCCCCTGTCCAGGGTCAAACCCCTCTAGGACCTCTTCTGCACGTAGACCTCCTGGTCTCAGCCGGGACACCCACCTGGGTGGGACTGGCGGGCAGGTCTTGGAAATCTCCCAGCTTTGGATTCCCCCCGCTCTGTGAAATACACATGATAAGCCTCTCATAGGGGCTCTGGCTGATGGTAAATGAAATGACTAGGCTTGTCCAGTGTTGATCACAGTCGGGGCCCAACAGGCCCTGACCACCTGTCGGGGTGCCTAGAGGCCCGGCACAGAAAGCAAGCAGCACAGAGACCTGTACCCCTTCTCCCCCCACCCCCAACCTCCCAGCCCTGGAGCCCTCCCCCAGAGTCCTGCACTGTCTCTAACCAGCCAGGCCAGGGCGACGTCCACCTCCCACCCCTCCGCCTGCCCTGATCGGGGGAAAGCCCGCCGAGTTCAAAGGGCAAGAGGAGTAGCCCACCTGGACCGGAGACAGAAGTCGAACTACACTACCCAGAATTCCCGGAGCTAGCCAAAAAGGAAATGTCGTTTCTGCAAGGAGAGGCTCGGCTCCCCCAGCAGCTGCAGAGACAGCGAGGGAGCGAGAGGGGGGCGAGGGGTGGGGGGGGGAGAGGATCACCAGGGGGGAGGCGGGCTGTGTGCGGGGAGCGAGGGTGGAGAGCGGGGCGGGCGGCGAGGAGGAGGCGGCGCCCGCTCGCCCGCCCGCCACCGCCGCCGCCGCCTGAGGACCTGCACCCCCTGCGGGGCCAGCGAGCGGGCGGCGGTCCCTGCGTGCGCTGCGCTCCCGGCCGACGGCTGCGGGCGGACGCGGGGCCAGGCCGGCGCAGGGGCTGAGTTTCTGCAAAGTTTGACCTGGTTGCCTTTCCGAAGATGCAGCAGAGCGAGGCAGCGCGGGGCGCGCCAGGCGGCTGCGGCGCGGCGGCGGGGCTGAGCGGCGACAGCACGCTCACGATGATCATAAAATAAAGCAGGCGAGCGGGGTGGGGGCGAGAGAGCTCCGAGCCTCACCCCTCCGCCCCCGGCCACCCCCGACCCCCGACCCCCACCCGCCGGGCAGCCCCGAGCTAGGAGGACTTGGGGGCCGGGGGGGCGTCCACGCCGGCCCCCAAACCCCTGCAGAGCTAAAGGACACTTCCCCGAGAAAGGGGGTGGGGGAGCCCCCAGGACGTACCCTTGGTGGGGTCGGGGGCTTCCGGAGGGCGGCAGCCCGGGCACGCGGAGCGGCCCGAGGGGCAGGTGAGTCTGCGGCGCCGCCCGAGTGGGGGCGTGCGCGCCAAAGTTCCCCGGCGGCGGCGAGCGCGCCGGACGCGCGGGGATCGGGGGGCCACTCGGAGCTGGCTAGAGGGGCATAAAAGCGGCGGGGCAGGGGCACTGCGCCCTTCGGGAGCCCGGGGAACCCTGGCTCGGGAAGGGGCGTGCGTCCGACCTGACCAGCCTGCAGGGTGGCCCTGCGTCCCTCGTGGGGGGGAGGGGCCCGGAGGGAGTCTGACCGGGAAGGGGCGCCGGCGGCGAGGAGGTGGGGGCAGTGCCAGGATCCAAAAGTCCACGAGGCCCACTGCAGTGCCAGGTGGTGGCCTCCCCCTCCCCGACCCCGCCTCCGGGCCGTGAGGTGTCAGCGGAGATGTCACGGGCGGCGATTATTCGCTGGTGCGCGCGGTCGTGCTGCCGCCACTGACGGGGCGGGCGGGTGTTGGGGGGGTGGCCGCGGCCTCCGGGGAGACCGCCCAGAGGTGCGCGGTCAGCTCCGCAGCCCGCGCTCCCCGCACTCACGCGTCGCCGCCCCGCGCGTCCCCCGCAGCAAAGTTCGGCTCAACTTTGAGGCGGGCCTTGACGCCCTGTCCCTTCCACCTCCTCCCCCCCAGGTCCTCGGCGGCCGCGGCGAACCAGGCGGCGGCCCGAGCGCAGCCCCGGGGACCCCCCGCACGGCGACGGCGGCGGCGGCGGGCGGCGACAGCGACAGCGGCGAGGGGACGCGGCGCGCCCGCGAGTGGGCGCCGACGGGGACCCCGCGGGCGGCCCGCCACGGGCGCTCGCCCTCCTGGACGCTCCAGAGGGCCCCCGGACCTCGGCCGACTGAACAGAAACTGCTCTCCCATTGATTCGACCCGGCCGGGCGAGCGGCCGGGTGCGTGTGCCCGAGCGCGTGCGGAAGGCAGAAGGGCAGGAAGTCGGTCTCTGGCAGCCAGGGTGGCGACACCGCGCAGGGGACGCAGCCTTCCTTATTTATGTGTCTGCCGGCATTTGCCTTCTTCGCCCGAAGACTTCAGGGAGCGTCTCGGAGCTGCGTTCCCAGCGTGTGAGGCACAGGAAGGGCTGGATGTCTGAACAACATGCTTATCCATTAACCTCCAAACTTTCCTTTTTTTAACCCAAAGAATATCGGTGATTTTTGTTCACTGCTCGCAGAAGAGAAAACCCAGGGCCCTTGAAATGCAGCAAAATCCTTATTTATAAAGTGGCCCCGCGGTAGTGATATGCGAACCCCCCGGACTCAGTGAATCTTCTATCCTATGGATATCGGTCTTGGGATTTGAGATTGAAGAGCTGTAGTGTCTGCACTGGGTCCCGCGGCCTCCATCCTGTCAATGCCCAGCTCCCCCTGGGACTGCTGGTCTTCCCTGGAGATCAGAGCGGTCCTGTGTGCCATGGGCTGCATTCAGAGCATCGGAGGCAAAGCCAGAGTCTTCCGGGAAGGCATCACGGTGATCGATGTGAAGGCCTCTATTGACCCCATCCCCACCAGCATCGATGAGTCCTCCAGCGTGGTGCTCCGCTACCGGACACCCCACTTCCGTGCCTCGGCCCAGGTAGTCATGCCGCCCATCCCCAAGAAGGAGACCTGGATAGTCGGCTGGATTCAGGCATGCAGCCACATGGAGTTCTACAACCAGTATGGGGAGCAGGGCATGTGAGTACTGCTTAAGAGCAAGCTTCGGGGAGGGGGCCGCTTGGGGGGGGAAGGGAGAGGTGGGGGGCTAGAGAGGGGTCTCCCCAGGGCCAGAGGGAAGCATGAGGCAGACGTGGAAGTGCTCTCAGTCCTCCTCGTCCAGGCGACCTAGAGGGCTTGCCTGTTGATTCAGATCGGGGTCATGGCTCTAGGACCTTCCCTTCCGCTGTCCCTGGCCTCTTCCCCTCGGGTTCCCATCTCCCTCCCGACAAGATGCCCAGGAAGCAGAGGGACACTCCACTGGGAGCCTCTTTGGCAAAGCAGGCGTGCTGTCCCGGGTCACTGGAGGGGCTGGGGCTTGGCCCGGCTCAGGCCTCCGCCAGCCCACGTGGTCATGGTGGGCACTCAGGGAAGGAGAGACGAGCCTCCACAGCCTCCAGCCTTAGGGTGCAGGGCTCTGTGTTGGGCCTGATCTTGTCCCCCAGCATTTTCGGAGGCACATCAAGACCTTGGTGGGGGGTGTGCTTTCTCTGTTCAGGACGGAGTTTTGTTGCAGAGGGTTTTAGAAACGCGGTTTGCATTGCAGTGCAGTGTTTCTCTCCGGGGCAGAAGGCCACTTTCTGTGAACCTCCATCGTCCGTGTACAGAAGGCTCCAGGGGGCCCCTAAGAGCTGAGAGGAGCCCACGGGCCTCTTCTCTCCAGCCCGGTCTGTAGAATGTCCCCAGGATAATGTAGCGCTCAGTGTGGCCCCCTGGGATCCTGGCAGGTGCCCTGATCTTGGAGATGGTCACCCTGAGTGTGCAAAGAGCAGCGGTAGACAGAGAGGGAAGTGGCTTAACCTGAAGGGCTGCCTAAGACAGGGTGAGGACAGAGCCGTTTCTGAGCACGAGGAGGCTTCTGAGGGCACCAGACTGCCCCCCAGCTAGACCCCTGGGAGTGGCCATGGATGCTCACCCACAGCCTCTTGGGATCCACCCCTGCAACACACCTCCCCCGTCCTGTAGCAGACTTGCCCTCTGACTTGAAACTGATTTAAGAACCCCCCATGGATGGGGAGGGAACACCAAATCTTGTGGCTTCTCCAGCTGTGACTCTGATGTTACAAGGGCAATAGGAGAATCATGGAAAAACTGAAAACTAGGTGTGACCATGGCCACCCCGAGAGGCACATGGGCCATATCTGGACACTCGTCTGCTCCCCGCTGTCTGCCTGACATCTATGCTGCAGGCCTGACTCTCCAAGTGGTTATTAAACCAGGCGGGGTTGTGGGGGTGGGAGCTGGCTTTCCATCCCAAGAAGGGAAACATGCTTCTTAGTTACTTGGTGTGGACCTTCCCTTAGAAGCCTTAAGCCCAAAGTATTCTCAGGCTTTGCAAGGCATTTGGGACAAATGGCAAGACACAAAGGTTTTTCTAGGCTTTTAGGCTAAGCTTGTTTTCTTCCCGAGAAAGAATAGGGAAGTCAGAGGGTCCTTCTGAACTTGGAAAGTTCGGTCCTCCTGTGAGCGCCAGGAAGAGGAAAGTTGGGGAGAGTTGAAGGGACTGAGTTTTGCGGAGATGGACGTGCTGTGTTGGGGGGGAGGGGGCAGGCCTGGCCCAGAGCCTCGGTTTCCCCACCCATGAGTCTTCAAGGCCTTGGGCTACCTGCGGTGGCTCCAGGTCCGTTCAGACACTGCGGCCAGAGGCAGGCCTGCATCGGGAGACCCGAGCTGACCTTTGTCTGTGCCAGTCCTTGGTTCCTGGTTAGAGGAACCGAGTGCACACCTAGACTGCAGTCAAGCGGACTGGGCGCCAGTCCAGGCTCTGTCCCTTTCCAGGGTGTGACCTTAGCCACCCTGACCCTCGGTTTCCTCGTCTGCAAATCGGGGCCACTCATAGGCCTTGCAGTGTGGGCTTATTGAATTACGGGACATGACATTGGTCAAGCTGTTGGCCCTGCGCCAAGCCCACAGTAAATACTGCAGGTGACTTGTCTTTAACACTGTTGTTACTGTGATGATCCTTTTGTCAGATGGGGAGTGGGTGATGGGACCTGTAAAAAGAATCGTGGCTGAATTCAGACAGATGTAAATTACTCCTCGTGCTGAATTTTCTCCCTGGCCCAGGTCTTCCTCTTGGCCCAGAGCACATTCCCTGACTTAAGAATTTAACAGTTAACACTGTAAGTCGCGCATGATTTGAGTTTTCAAGCGGTTGAAGGCTGTTTTCTTTGTTCTGTATGTGTTTCCTTTTGTTCTCTCCCCTTCTTGGAACATGCCTCAACGTAGGGACCCCTGTGTCCCACGGACCTCCTTCTCCAGGGTCCACTGAGGTCCCGGTGGAGATGGGACCAGCCCCAGAGAAAGAGCAGAGTTGGAGGCTTCCTGGAGGGGCAGGAGGGACTGGCCATTAATGAGTTCAGTCTCTGGGGTCAGGATGACCCCAGTGCTGGCTCTGGGGCCTCGGCAAGTTGCCTCTTGGAGGTTAGGTTTTGCCATCTGTGGATGGGGAGTTAGACTGCCCGTGGGTTGCTGGGAGGATTCGAGGAGAGGACAGCTGTAGGTGACTGCCCTGTGGCTGAAATGCACAGTTGGAAACTGCTTGATTATTAATCAACAAAACTGTATTAAGGAACCGAATTACCAAGTAGCATGGTTCCTCTGGCCAGTGGGGAGGCTCTGGTCTCCAGAAAAAGCCTGGACAGCTGTGCCTGCTTGAGTGCCAATGGAAGCATTTTTTTTCTTTCTTTTTTTTTTTTTGCTATGCAGCATGTGGGACCTTCGTTCCCCAACCAGGGATTGAACCCACGTCCCTTGTATTGGAAGCTCAGAGTCTTAACCACTGGACTGCCAGGGAGGTCCCAGATGGGAGCATTTTGATGGGATGGAAAGACTCTTCCCATTTTCCCTATCCCAAACCTCCTGTGATAACGAGGCTTCTTCACTTTTCTAAGCCCCGTGATGGGAAGGAAAATCAGGGGTGGTGAGAGGTGGGGTGACCAGTGGCCTCAGGCTGCCTGGAGCTGCCCCTTAACTTTGCTGGGTTGGGGGCTGTGCTGTGCTTTGCAGGATATTGAGCAGCGTCCCTGGTCTCTGCCCACTCAATGCCACCCTCCCCCTGTGCTAACAGCCAAAAATGTCCCCAGACACTTCCCAATGTCCCCAGGAGAGGTGAAAAGTCACCCCGATTGAGAACTGTTGGGCTAGACCCAGGCAATTTGAAGCCTTAAAATGAAGCCCCCCTGGGCTTTAAAGGCCTTGGGGAGGGGTCGGCCAGGTGGCAAAGGTTAGGTTAGGGTTTCTGTTCTTGTATTAAAAATATTAATTCCAAATACTTAACCAAAACCCGTAATACCCCTAAACATTATCCCTGCTTGAAATTAATCTCTAATCCAGGAGGAGAACCCTTTTGAATGACATTGTGGGTTGGAAATGTTTGCAGTGGAACAATGCCACACACCAAACCCCAGTAATGCCCCGGCTTAAAGATGAGAGCTAGAAAATGGTGAGCTTCTTGTGCCAGCTCGAGAGGATTCTGTATCGTTCGGGGTTCAGCCCACATTGCTTTAAAAGCTACCCCCCCCAAAAAAAAACTGTTGGAGACGCCTGCCTCCACAGCCCCGTCCTCCGCAATCCTCAGCTGCCACCTGTCAGCTGGCACAATCTTCCAAGTGACAAGTCCCAATTTCTCCCCTGTGTGTGGGACGCTTCACGTTATCCCTAATTTGCCCTCCTGCTGGAGCCCCCAGGGAATCTGGCCCATGGCCAAAGTCAAAGTCAAGGCTGGCTCTGGCTCCAGGTTTTGCCAAAGGGCAGGCTTGGGGTGAGGGGAGGAGAACAGCTCAAGAGAAGGGAGTCTCTCTGGACTGACAGTGCCACCTGCCCATGCCCTTGTCCAGCAGGGCGTGGCCTCCCCAGCTCCACCATCCACAGGTGTGGCAAGCTTGGGCCAGGTTCCCAACCTTTAGGAGCCTCACTGTTCCCATCTGTGAAATGGGGTTGTTGAGGGACTAAATGAGCTGGTGCCTGACGAGGACTCAGCACAGTGCCTGCATATACAAAACACTGGTTGCATAGTTGCTCTCCCTACCATAACCAGCAATCATTCATCATCAATTACACAGTGCCCGGCAAGGAATCAGTACCAATTGCGGTGCTCTTCTTTCATACCCGCCTAGAGCATGGGAATCTCTGGCAAGAGACCTCTCAGGGATTTTGCAGTCGGACCTGGGATGACATGAGCTGTCACAGGATGACGAGGCCAGCGGGAGAGGCTGGGCTGGGGCGGAGGGGCCTCTGCCCGGCTCCCCGGTCTCTCTCTGGTCTCCCAAGGACTCCAAGAGGTCCTCACTGACGCTGAGGCCGGGGCTGCTGAGACCCGAGGCCACTTGCCCGAGGAGGCTTGCTCTGCTTCAGCGGGTCTGGGGTGGGGTCAGGAGGCACGGCCTGGTGACCACGTGGCCTCTTCTTGCGGCCCAGGCCTGCCCCGGGGGCCGGTACTTCCTCTCTGTGCCCGGAAGGCGGCCTCCCCCGACTGCGGGCCGTGGTGGAGGCCGGAGAGTGAAGTCCTTGTTTCCAGGCTTTGGGGTGGGAGGAAGTTGGGGGCGGGAGTACTGCCCGCCCCGAAAGTACTGCCCCTGGACCTACCCCCGCTTGGCGATCATGCCCACCCTCACCTTCTGAGGGCGGAAAACAGAAGCTGGCGTCTCCCGGGCCGTGCGGGGAGGCACCGGCTGCCCCCATGATTGGGGAGTTGCAAATGAAACGGGTAGATGCTTTTTTTCCCCCCGCTGATAGGATCTGGGTTAAAAATGGAAAGGGTCAGTAATACCTGGTGTGAGGGGTACAATGTGGGCAGCTTCTGGAAGATGAGCTTTCAGAATTCCAAGTACATGGGACCTTCAACTCTGGCACTGTGTTGGGTTGGCCAAAAAGTTCATTGGGGTTTTTTGTGTTGCGGAAAGGCCTGAACGAACTTTTTGGCTAACCGAGTAGTTATGGCGTCTGTCTTAACAGAAACTGAGCCCTGGCCTGGTGCCTGG